GGAGGGAGGGGAGGGGAAGGAGCCCAAATAAACCGGGCTTATTTGGGGTCCCTCCCCCCCCAGCTCCCATGAAGCATGACAACACATAAACTTATCTCACTTTGTCTATTTGACATTCTCCCCCGGATGGACAACGGTACTATTTGGTAGCTGTATTACCCCAGCGTTCATTGATTCATAGCTTCACAACTCTTGGTAAGTTGCAAGCAACTTTCTTTTTTCCGGCCCCCTACTAAAATTGAACAGCACCCAGAAAACCAAACAACCAAAACACCGAAAAGCCAAAGCCCCTACTAAAATTGAACAGAACCCAGGAAAAAACACACACATTTGAAATGTACGAGCAGTGAAGATAGGGCTTCTACCTGGAAGCAACCGACAGCCCGCCTGGTGGCGGCCCCGGCGGTGGCCCGGGCGGCGGAAGAGGCGGCAACCCGAGCGCCGCAACGGGGGCGGCCGGGACCGCGGGGGCTGGCGTCGGAGTGGGGCCGTAGAGCAGATCCTGCGGCTGATCCAAATGCCATGGGTCAAAAGCCCGGTTAGCCGCCGGTGAACATCCCAATCCCCACTAGGTGAATTCACCTACCAACCAAAATTGGATTTCATTGGTGTTGACCCACAGCCAAATGCCACGGATCCAAATCCTCGCCTTAGCCCGAGTTGGTTTGGTGTGGCTGGCTTACCCTACCAATTTGGTTTCAAATGTGAAAAGGCCGTGGATCTGCCAACCAGCACGGGAAAAACGGAAAAACGGAAAGTCGGGCGGCCTTCCCTGGGATCTCCAAAAGCTGAATTAAAGGATCCCCAAGTAAAGGAGCTTTATCATGCCTTGAGCTCGTTATACCCACGAATCGGTGTATAAAATGCGCAGATGGATGCCAATCCCTTCTCGTCCTGAGTGGATTGGCCACCCAAAAAAACAAACCAAACTTTGTTTCGCACAACATATTTAATAGTGCTAAGAACTCCGGGATGGAACTAGATGCACAAACAAACATGACATGTCGGCTGTGAGGAACTGAGAAACCAGCGGTTAGATCCGGAGAGGCGATGGTTCAGTAAGGGATTCAGGGATCCACATAAACATAAACGTGGGTTTCCTTGCATGCATCTGGTTGATTGCCTTCAGGGATCCACATAAACAATGGCAATTCCGAAGGCAGCGCATCCCTCTCAGCTTGAGGCGGAGAGAAGGTAAGCGAGGCTGCGTGATGATGTCTAGGCCGAACTTCGCAACCCATCAATTCGGTTCTGAGCCTTAGGGTTTAGGGTTTAGGGTTCTGAGCCTCTAGAAAAATGACAAGCCACAAGGGCTGCATCTTGGCGTGGGTTCCTTCAGTGTCCCTTTTACCCGGCTCATTTCCAGCTTGCCCACGCATCACAAAGCTTGGCTATGCGTCCGCCGCGCGAGGCTGGCGCGAAGTTGTACAAGGCATGCATGGTTGTTTGAGCTGGAATGCCTCTGCAGCACCAGCCTGGATAGGTTTCACAAGGGCGAGTTTTCAACGTATAAGCAACACTTGTGTGCAGACAGGCAAACAATCAAACAACGAGAAAAAAACACATGCTCCCCTGTCATATTTTTCGTTGCTTTCTGCTTCCCGGCCAAAGTTTAACTTTTAGTGGTTTAATGGAAAACCCATAAGTTGGCAAAAGGTTAAAGTCCTAACATCCAAGCAAAATGCGCTTCAGTCATATAAGCGCTCGATTTGAATTGCTTGGACGTCTTCCGGCCTCAAGAACCAGGACATCAACTCCAAATCCAAGCCACAACGCTCGCTCTTGCCCAAGGGACCCAGGAGTAACAGGTCAACCTTTTTGAACCTTGGCCCAAAATGGACCAAACGGGATCACCAAAAGGTCTGGCGACTGAGTTTAGCACCGAGGCATGAGTTTTTTCTGGTTTTATCGGGTACCCTTTTTGGGATTGTTTCTCTCGGGCACCCTTTTTGGGATTGGCTCAGCCAGAAACGCCTGAAGCCAAAAAACCGCAGAACACCCGAAGCCAAAGTTGGGGCCTTGAGGTCTGGGTCCAACTTCTCCGCTTCCGGCGGTGGCTTGGGCGCTGGAGCCTGGGCTCGTGGTGGGCTGCTTGGCGCGTCTTGGTTTGCTTGGCTCCTGGGCTGGTTGGTTGGATGGTTGCTTGCTCGCTTGCTTGGTCACCTTCTAATACTGCACCTCTCTGGGTTCATGCAAAACAGGACAGGGCCGATACAAAATCCGAGATGGCAAAAACAACGAGCAGCGAACATGTCTTTGCCGGCGCATCAAGTGGCTGTGCTTTCCTAATGTGCGAACCCCAATGCGCGCGCAACCGCCATCTGCATCCTTCAGAAGAAGCTGGATTGTACGTCAGGCGCCGTTGTTGTTGATTTCCATGTTCCTGGGAAGCTCCCCGTGCATGTGTTCTTTGCTCCCAACCCTTCTGGACAAATTGTTGTCAAAAGTAAAAGTGGCTCAAGCAAGGGGCACGGCAGCACCAGCCCAAACGACACATCCACGACGCATCCACCCAAACCAAGATACCCCGCTGTCCTGAAAGCAGATCGGCCCCAGGCAGCAGGGCGTGTCTCTTTTTGATCTTGTTTGACGCTCGGTATCCTTTTCAGGTTGGTTCCAAGGGAAACCAAAAGAACTACTCCTTCTTTTTTTCCTTGTTTTTTTTTTTTTTTTGGGGGGGGGGGGGAGACACAAACCCAGGTGTAAATTGGCCAGGCTCGAAAAAGGCAAAGCCGCCCAGCAAAAGATGGTATTCCACGTGGCCTTGAAACCACAATTTGGGTGGATGCCCCAACATGGGATTCGGTTTTCCTGGTTCCCTTTTAGAAAGCCCACAAGAAACGGAACCAAAGGCATCCCCATTCTCCAGAACGACTGTTTTGGAAGCTGCCTGGTGGCTCTGCAACACCTTCAGGGAGCCCAGAGTCAGCGACAGGAACTTGGAACTCTGAATGCATGAGCTGGGTGCTCCAAAAAGCAGGGCAGCCCCACTGTATCAAAGTGGACCAGCTCACAGCGTCACACAAAATGGAACGAATGTTTGACGCCATGTCAGAATTTCCGTTCGAAGCCCAGGGAAACAACCACCAACACAAATGAAACAACAAAGCCAATGTTGCTTTCAAGTCCACCCCTTAGTCAGGGCCTCAAGGGCCTGGGGGCACCCTCAGCCCCTGAGGCCTGAGGTCTGAGGAACTCAGGGGGAGCCTGCTCGGTCTCGAGCCAAGTTTGGGAATTTCAGAGGGTCCGAGCACCTGGCAGGTACTTGAAACCCAAAAGACGTTCAGACATTCTCAACAGGACCCTCTGCTACAAAATTGGTCTGAATCCACCACGAGGAGCCACCCCCACCGGATCAACTCCTCTTTCTTCATGCGTATCTTTACGCTCAAGCTGCGGACCTGCGTGATTGCGAATGGACGCGTGGAGCCACCAAAAAAACAACGGATCAAACCCAACTCACCCAACCCGCGGTTCAAAGTCGAAGCTCGGGGCGCCGGGCCGTTGGGGGCACCCAGGCGCCCGGGCTGCCTGCAAATCCGAAATCAAAAAAATGCCCAGCACCCTCCTGACCAAATAAGAGTGCCTGTCTGTGCGTGCGTGCGTGCGTGCGTGCGTGCGTGCGTGGGTGGGTGGGTGTGTGTGTGTGTGTGTTTTGTCCAGGCCCCCCCCCCAACAAGAAATGGATCCGGTCAAAACCAAACAAACAAGAGAGACGCGCCATGCAGCCGCAACGACAAGCGGCGAACGACGCCTGCCATGGTGGGAGAGTAACACTCTCTGTCACTGGTTGATTCCCACCCAGGCTGCAGGATCATTTTGAGGGGGTTCCAATACCTAAAGCCCCATGTTCACAACCATGAAAAGGACCGCCCTTTCGAGATGGATGGTTCGTGGGTTCCGCATGACTTTGCAGGGAAGCATGCTTGGTCTATGTTACGCTGCAACCTGGGAATTTAAGCCTTTCCTACCATCTTTCTTGGGGCCTAAGGTGCACAATGTGATGAACTCTAACGCGACACACGTGCAGTTCTCGAACAAGCCAGGCGGGCAACTATCCGGCAGAAGACACTCTGCACGAATTGCTATGTTTCACTGACGATTCACCAAGCAGGATTCAGGGATCCATCAAGGGCTTTCTTCATACTTAGTTGAGCTGGCTTAGCCCTAGGGTGAACTCGCCACACAAAACCAGTAGCGCAATCATGTGCGCCGCTGAACAAGTCCGATGCTTAAGGTGAGCTTTGGCAAGCTAGAATGCCAAATGAGTCATTTTAAATGAGTCAATATGTAGTCGCCCTTGATCAAACATGGGCAGCTGAAGGTTCTCATGGGCCGAGTGCTCAGTGGACTTGGCAATCGCAACACGTGGCCCTTCTTGACCCCAGATTACGAACTTCCCGAGCGGAGGGCCCAAAAAATTGTTTTAGAAAAACTTTCGGTTTACGACTCAAATGGTCCAAACCCCCAAATGTACAAAGTCCAGGAACTCAGTGAGTAAGTAGGGGTGTCACCCACAAAAAAAAATGCCCCCGTTCTTCATCAACAAGGAGCTAATTCATCCAGATTTCCCATCAGCCATCCAAGCGCTGCGAGAAAGTCGCCGTTTTACGGCGACACCGCCAAATGGCACGTATGCGTGCAACACACTATGTACGTTCCTGCTCCGGTCCTGACGGCCGAGGCAAGAGGTATGGCAGGCCAGAGGATGATCTGATTTCTCTTGGTCTTTGAAGGCGCATTCATCCCCGCGCCCCAAAACAGCCCGAAGGACCGCATCTCGGGCATATTTGGCACTAGATTGTTGCGGGCTTTGGGCTCTTTGTGGGAGCAGCTCTGAAGCCAAACCCAACTTGCAAAGAGCTTGGGGGCCAACGCACGGCACGTCTCCGGAAACGAAAAAGTGAAGAAAACTACCAAGCACATGCGGAACATGCAGCAAAACAACACAACCGCACATGTGTGCCAATGAAAGTTGAAATCGTTCTGGGGCGTTTCGTCTAGCTTTCGAAGCCCCGAGTGAGTCTCTCATCGGCGCAGGGCTTGTGAATAGGACAGAACACAGCATTCGCAACCCTCGCGCAGTGAGGCTGATGTGTGCGGAGTCTTTCGGGTACCGGCTCGCCCGCGAGACGGAAGAGCTGCTCCTGGCAAGGTTTCGTCTGGGTCTATGAAATTGACACCCGCAAACATCAATGAATCACCCCTGTTTATTATTTCTGGGCTTGTTTTATGGGGAAATCATCACTTTTGGAAGGCCCTATATTAATAAACTGGGGTTGATGGACAACATTACGCTCAAAACTTGAGTGACCTAAATGGATTCTTGCAACAATTTGACTCTTGTCGAAGCTTGCCGGGCACATCTGGCAACAAACAACAGCTTCCATCAAGCTTTTGCCGTTGCCGCCTAAGCAAAGAGCGCAACAAACAACAATTGCCCTTGCTCCGCGAAGAGTTTCCGAGTTTCCGACGTTGGGGTTTTGGCATTCAACAAGCAACCAAACCATCACAAGATTGCCACAAACAGCTTCCCAACTGGCCATGCGTCAAAATCCCCCCCAGTGAACATCCCAATCCCCACTAGAATAGGTTCTAAAACGGGTGGGTGCACCTACCAACCAAAATGGGATCTAAAACCGTTTTGACCCACCCCTCTCGAATGGCTCCTGGACGTCAAAGGCATGCTTCAAACGCCGGTGCAAACGCCGCACCAGCGACGCGTTCCGGCAAAGGTCTGTGCGGTACTTGCCCATGGTGTTGTACCGCTGAAAGCGTTGGCCGGGGCCTAAAACCGAGTGGGAAACCAAAGCTTCCAAGCCTTGGCATGTGAGCACATGCTTCTTCTTCTTCTTCTTTTGCAGCCACCCACCACACATGAACAAACAAACAACTTTTCTTGAGCAACAAATCTAGCAGGCCAAGCACAGTGCAGCTGGTTCATCGTGCCTTAAAGTGAGATGAGCGACATCAGACATGCCAAAAATCACCCTTTAAATGGTGGCCGAAAAGAAACCAGCCCCGAAAGTAGTTTGGAGAGCTTCGCACATGCTCACATGAAGCTGTGAGGACCCATCACACGCTCCTTTTTCCTTAAAGGTGCTACATGTTCCGAAATGCCCCCCGAAAGTTGAGCTTTGGTGCCATTCCATGCACCGTCTATTCTGCAGCCTCATCTAAGAGCTCGGCGCAAACAAATCGGCTGTTCAAGGACTTCAGACATGCTGAAAGTAGACCACCCAAGCAACCCGCTGCCCGGGTTGAGCGCTATTGAATAACATGTCCATCTACAGGCATGCGGCATGTTGCCACTAGTGTGACAGATTGGCCAAGCACACCATCAACAAACCTATCAGCTACCAGCGCTTAGAGAAAACCACGCCCTATCAGCAACTCGGCCAAACCTCCGAAGCCTAACACGCCTCTGCCGGCACAATAATTTAGCCATCCTCAGGTCGCAAAGCATCTCAACAGCAAAAAACGGCAGATGAAAATGCCAAGAAAATGAAGTCTGGCAGTTGCAGTTCAATCAATGCGAGAACACATGCGAAACTTCCCCCAGTTCCAGCAACCCGCGCGGGAAGTCAAATGTAAGGGCGCCTATGGACCGATTCCGAAAACTGCTGTCAATTCTGCTGCCATCTGAGTCACAATAAAAACTCGGTATTGAACTGGTCTACCCAGAACCATGTAAAGAAAATTAGAAGGCGGCCGCAGCTATTTCTGGTTGGGATCGTTCCTTACTAACCTTCATCTACCCGGGATTTGACTGTGACTCATCTGGGTTCTCGTGACTTCTTGAGACCCGAAAAGAAAACAACTGTGACACAACAAAAAAAAAACGGCCGGAATGCCTGTGGCAGCCCAGCCGCCAAAGGGAGCGACGCCCAAAAAGCGGGCGATGCTTTGATAAGTCGCAGCGCTACCTTGGCTTGCAAGTAGCCCTCTGACACAGCAAGCTTCACATCCGAGACCCAAGGGAAACTGGGGCTTGTACCCTTTGTGCGTGCTTAGACAGTGGTTACTATGTTTAATGACGTTCCCGTGGGTTCTGGTGGTTTGGGGGTGGGTTTGTCATGGGTTCATCTCCAAGGGTTCTGTGAAAGGAGCGCCGAGCGCGCAATTTGGTGCTGGACCACAACATAATTCCCATATCAATCAATTCCAGTTCATAAATACGGGGGGTTCCCCTCCAAACGTGATGCTTTCCCACTAAACCCAGGGACACCCCCATACACATACACTGGGGTTGATTTATATGGCGTCTACCATCTAACTGACACCTTTCGGACCTTCCTACAGCCCAGAACCCAAAAGTACCCACCCCCGGTGATTCCAAGTTTGAGGGATGGGGTGTGGCTTGTTGCAAGACTCTAGGGGTACCTTCCCCATTCTTTCCAGAGATCCTTCTTTGCAGGAAACCATCAAAAAAACCAGGGGAAACAACCGGTTGTTGAAAAGAACGACGGTTGAAAAGAACGGTGAATCAACCCCTAGAAAGACAGCCAGTGAGCGGAAGAGTTTGCAGCGTGAGGCCCTATCAACCTCCCAGCGAAGCCTCGAGTTCAACGATGCCCCTTCTTGCCGAAGACTGCATTCTGGTCGCTTTGCTTCCGTTGGCTTAAGCCGCCTGGAAACAAGACATCCACTGGCAATAGATCCCCTTTGAAACCAACAAGGCACAATAAAACATATTCTTAATCAAATGGAAGTCTGGTAGCCCCTGTGTCAGAAATTTCGCCCGCCAGAGACAAGAGTCCAGGGTGCTCAAGGCCTCTTGATCAAGAAGCTTGGCTTGAGAAAATCGCTTCCAAACCGAGAGCAGGTCGAGGTTGGTCCAAAGGTATTGAAGACTTGGCTCCGGCCTGGGCGCATGGGCGCAGGGGCGCAGAGCCAAAGGCGCAATGGCAGCCCAGGTGCGGCTTCAGGCTTGAGGTTCTAGCTTGCAAGCCAACGCCATCACTGACCCCCATGATTTAAAGGATAGAAGTACATACCCCTTGTTCATACCCCTGGGCTTCCCTGGTTTACAATCCACTTTATAAGGGGTATATACCCGAGGGGGTATGAACATCAGCAGGCCTTTTGGGTTCATTTGCCCAAGCGGGATGTAAAAGGGGTGTGTATGTACAGCCTCCGAATGATCCTTTCGCATGCAGCCGTTGGCCTGTGTCAAAAACTGCACGGGCTGCCACAATGAAGTTGCGCTCACAGGTCGTAGCAAGGAGCCCAATGACTCCGGGCTGCACTGCGAACACTTCCCAGATGTTTCCGCAGCACCAACCCTAGAACAAACACACAACCCTTTAAAACGCTCAAACATCGTTCAAGTACCCCCAGCCACTCAAAACCCTTTCCTCGGATGGTTGGGAAATCTATTTCGCTCGATTCCCCTGCAAATATTTTAGCAAACGATGTTTTCAACCTGCAAAACATTGCTATAACTCCAAAAACCTAACATCTCTACTCTTGGTATGGTAGCAAAAAACTTTGTTTTTGCAGACCCCCAGTAAAAATGAACAGAACCAAAAAACTAAAAAACTAAAACACATGCCAAGAACAGTGAAGCTAAGACGTGGTTTCCAATTGAGAATTCTACTGCAACTGAAAAACGAGAAACAAAAAACACATGAACACCTGAAGAAAATGGACCTTCCTCCTGGCTTTCCGCTCCAATCAATTTTTCCCCCTTCTTCTTCGGTGAGCTCCGCTCGCTCGCCTCAGCAAAGCCTCCGCGCTGGGGAAGCAGGAGTCCTCCGGCCGATTGCGGCTGAGCTCCTGCTGGAAGGCCCAGGCCTGAGAAATCCGCGACACGGACACGGGTTGCGCCCGGTTTGTCGGAGCTGCGAGACGCGGGTTCTTTTTCACCTTCGTGTTGAAAAAGGCGACGGTGACACTTTGAGTTGTTTTCTTCTTCTTAAAAACCAAAAAAAAAAAAAACGGAAACTACCACTAAAAACAAAAAACATGGAAAGCTGAGGGGATGGCTGGGATCCACCATGGAAAGAGAACTCATTTCAAGTAACCTCTGGCCTCCTTGAAAAGCGCATGCAACGCTTGAAGCCAGAGATTCCCCCCTTACGAGTTGAATTACTGCCCTCGCGCGACACATCCGACACTTGCAACCGGTTGCCTTCCCAGCCTTTTCACATGGAACCGTTTGACCTTCAGGACTCGGTCCCTTTAAAAGACAAATGGCCCAAGCCACCCCGAAACGTCTAAGGGTTCCATGTGTTCAGGTGGGAGGGCAATTGGTGGTTTGGAGCCCGGTTTGGAGCCCGGGATTTGAACGGGCCCCTGGTTCTGGAGGGGAAATGGGAAACCTCAACCACCAAACCACCGGGCTCCAGACCGCTCTTTAGGGTTGCCCAACATAACGTATGCTTTCAACTAGGCGGGTAACATGAAACATGGGCTCAAACTTTGGATGACTGCCTTCATGAAAGGACGTCTACTTTGAGCACAGGTTTGAACAAAAGGCGCCCCCAAATGGGGGGCACCTTGTATATCCAGGTCCTTCGGGGTGAGAAGAAACACTCAGAGTTTCTAGCTTCCCGCATAGCGGCCCTGAACAAAAATAAGGCTGAGACTGTGAACAGAGTGACTTTCACTCTTGCACAATATCATACCTAAGTCGGTCGGCTTGTTCGTAAACCCAGAACGGGCGTTTCGAAAGAAGACACACATGTTTTCCAGCGTGGCATCGTCTGCGATATTATTGTGTGTTGGGTATCGTAATTCATATTGTCCTGGGCTGTTCAAAATGGAGGGCTGGTCAATCCTAATCCATAATCCCTATATCCCTATAGGGCCACTGCACAGAGGACTTTTCTGCGTACCCCCCAGGCAAGGATCTCGCGGATTTCTTTTGAAGAGCCCAGATTTCACGAAACCTCGAACGTTCCGAGTGGCTGGGTCTTGGTGGCAGTAGTGGTGCTCCAGGAAGCGCCGCTCCATATGCTTCAGGGGGTCGCACAGGACCAGCAAGACCCGGAGGTCCTGTCGTTCAAGCGCTCAAGAGGCACAGCTTCCTTGCCCCTGCGACTTGCACTGGTGAAGGTGGATAACACCACTTCGAAGGGATGAATAATCAAACCCAAATAGGGGGAATTGTGCCATCTACCTTCACCCGCCTGTACTTTTATCATAACTTATGTTCACTCATCTCAATTATTGAGGCAACAGGTCGGTCCTGGACGACCATTTTCATTTCAAAGGGACCCTGTCAGGTTCTATGTGGCTTGCCGACTTGGCGGGAGGGTAATTCGTTCTTCTGCCGCGCTTCCCTCTCGCCTGGCCGAAAAGCCTGAGACCTGGGCAATCAAACGCGCAAGCTTCGTGAGTTGGGGAAGCCCAAGGGGCATCTTGAACAGCCCTGGAAAGGCGAGCCCATTTCGTGTTGGCTGGTTTCTATATGCTTCAGGGTTTAATGGGGAAGCCCGAAGCATCCGAAAACGGGTATGCGCTGAGGGCTGGGTCACTTGGCTGCCTTCAGCGTGGCAAGTCGCCAGAAAGAATTTGCCTCAAGCGCGAAGCAGCGACCTAGAGGGTGTCTGGATCATGCATGGACTGCTGCCAGAGGCCTCGGCTGATGGGTAGCCCCACGCTTTAGCTCTGAAGAAGCTGCCCTTCGCAACTCCAACTATTCGCCCCCCTTTCCAACTGAGCCTCAGAGCCGGCCTAGTTCTAGAAGCGCGACAAGAGACCCACACAGGGTATTGCAAGAGGAGCTTCAGGGAACTAATTCGTTGGTTGCAACCCTTGGTTTGTTGAGGGACGTAATTCGTTCAACCCCAGGTTTTGATAGAGAACCCCAGCCCGGCCCCCCAAAAAGAGCAGCCACCCGGACCCCGTCTGTCACGCGCTCGCTCTCCTCGATGGAGGCCAAGGCCATTCGAGCCAGGCCCATGCTGAAGAGCGTTGGGTTGTACACCCCCCGCAGCCGTGGCCTTCGCTCGGACGCCGGACGTACGTGACTTTTCAGCTCCTTACCGAAAACTAGGCTAGAATTAGGACCCCAGCAAAAAAATATCTTTGTTGCCTGGTTAGTGGAAAACAAAGGGAACCAAAAAAAACAATAAAGCAAAAAGGGGAGCTAATTCTGAGAAAAATGGTGGCTTGATGTGGCTTGTTGGCCGCAAACACACAAACACAAATACACAGTGACCTGAAGCTAGCAACCAATCCCAGTACACCACTGAGCCAAATAGAAACCAAACACTCCCTCCGACCGACACACCACGCAAAGAGGCAAACATGGCCGTAGCATTCAGGAGTTCAGGATGCATCCCCTACGGGTCCAAAGAAGCATCCACCGCTCACATCGGGCTGCTGGGCCGCTTCTTTGATGCATCATGGTTCAAGCCTGGTTTGGGAGAGGGACATGAGAAACGCGTGCGTGCAAATAGCACCCTCTGACTTATTAAGGCCAACGCTGGGCTAAGGGTCCTTGCTCCCCATCAATCAACTAGGGGTTGATGAATCCTGGGTTCCCATCATCGACTTGCCTCAGCTGCAGCCCCCAGCTAAGCGTCAAATCTTCAAAAACCCCGGCCTATGTCGAGGCAGCGAACCTTACTCTCCACACCAACTCGCAACATGAAGCCGCAGTGGGAAGACATGTGTCCCTCAAGGTACTTGGCGGGCTCCATGTGGCCGGGGGGAAGCGCAGAAAAACATGTCTGGCTCAGCTGCGCGGTCAGTGCTGGGCAAGCAACAGGGCAATGGAATCAGCTTACCCTTCCATGGTGGTTCGGGGTTCGAGGCTGGGTGGCCCCCAATAGACTCTAAAGATCAGTAAGGAGGATAATTAGATGAGATCTCTTTCAGACAACAACAACACCAAAACAACGACATTCCCAACAAGTAGCAAGTCCAGAAACTTCACAATCCAGACCCCCGGCCATTTGCACCTCTGCCGGATTTCCCTCGCGCCCGCGCGCGAGTTCGAGACGGCCTCTGCCCGGTGACTTGGAACTTCTTCTCGGCCGCCGCCTCCATGACGCGGTTGAAGCCGTCCACCTGGAACAGAGCCCCGCGCGGCCCGGAGGTCTCTCAGGACTGGGAAACAGCAAAATAAACCTTGAAATGGTGGGGTGTACCAAAGATGACATTCCCTTGGGTCGATCTAGGTACATTTGACCCATCCACTGTAACCTGGTATGGTAGCAACAAACTAAGTCTAGCAATAAGCTTCCATCAGAACCAGCACCAAAAATGAACACCTACACATTAAAAGCTCGGCTTGGGCCAGGGAGCAAGATCTAGAATAGGTTTGGAGGAGAGTTGATCGATTGCCTGGTGGCTTCCACGGCAAAGGTTCCAAACTGCAAAGGCTCCAAGGGAGAGCTCCGAATCCCAGCGGAGGGCTGTCCGGAAAGCAGGCCAAGCACCGGATCACAACACACCCGCACAGAGTCCAAGGAAATGGAATCGCCCCGCTTCAGCTTGCGAGTGGTCACCAAGAAGTGCCCTGTGACTCCATCTGTCCAGTAGGGAACCTAGGGAACCACCCTCTACAAACCAAAAGGAATTTCGGTTGCCTATAGGGCTGACTGGGATCCACTAGGGTTCATAACAATTATGCTTGCTTCGGGCCCCCGGTGAACAGAGACTCTGACTTGCGACATCGGCAACGTCCGCCAGGCTCAGTCATCAAAAAAAGAGAATAAACACTTTACTAGTCTCAGCGCCCACCGCAACTCCCCGAAGCTCCCAAAGTGACGCAAGGAAGACGCACACGCAAGCGGCAAAAAAAACAAAAAAAAAACATAGACTTGCGCAAACAAACACACCCAAAGAAACACACAAACACGTCACACATAGCAGCCAAACACAGAAAAGGAGCAAACCCATATTTACTGGGCCGGACCGGAAAATCAACCCCCCACCCCCCACCCCTTGAGGCGCCCCCCCCGTTCCTGGCCTGGGACTTGAGGGGCAGCAAACGGTGGATCACCTCAGCGGCAAAGAAGAGGTCCTCAAGGATGCCGCCATCTGAGTCACAATCAACCCGGGTTGGGACTGCCCCTTACTAACCTTCATCTACGCGTTTTTTGATTGTGGCTCATCTGGCTTGGACATCCCGAAAATGGCCGAAGAAGACTCCTGACTTGATAACTGGTGCGATTTGGTGCGATAGGTAGGGAATGAAGGATGAGGGAATGACCCCTAAAAACCATCTGGCTTGACATCGGGTGAGTAATGTGAGTCTCCTGGCTGAGGATTTCCCACCTCGAACCCCAAATGACCGGTGAGTCGTTTCTAGGGGGTGATTCCTTCTTTATTCTTTTCAACCTTCCTTCTTTTCAAAAACCGGATCCGTTTTTTTGGGGCTTTCCGGAGGTTCTAGAAAGAAGGATCCCTGGAAAGAATGGGGAAGGTAACCCTAGAAAAATGGCCGAAGACTCTGACTTTATAGCTGCTACGATAGGTCGGGAATCGAACCCAAGTCCGTGTGTTGGGAATGAATCGTTTGGGGATTCCTTTGAAGGAAACCAGAGGGGATGGTTTATAGGGGTCATTCCAACTCATTGCTGAGAACCAGCAGGAGGTTTCAAAGGTTTACAAAGCCCTTGCTTCCACGAAACCAAGCAAGGACAACCCGCCGTTCACCCGGCAAGTGAAGCCGAGAAACTACTCCAGTGATACTGAATTGGGCAATTGCCCGGTTTCAAGGGGATCCCCTTTCTACTGTGGATGGACGAACTCCTGCACAACTTTGAAGCCATGGGAAACCCTTGTTTCGTTGGCATTTACAGAGGAACATCATGCCTGGGTTTCTTAGGTGGTGCGAAATGGATTTCGTAACCATCCACAGTATCACCCCAAGCCCGCAGTGGCCATGAACAAGCAGAAGCTCTCGGTTTGCTTTGCAAGCAGAAGCAACAAAGGAAACGCCCCGATGGAGTTGTCTGGGTCACAGATGGTGTCCTCACCCTCTGAAGAGAAAACAATCTCCGGGTGCTGGTCCAGATTCCGGTTCAGCCTGGCATCGAAAGCACGCAAAGCAACCTGACAACCTCAGTCGGGGTGATGCTAGAAAGAAGCAAGAGGGTGTGTCCTTTTTTTTCGCGCACCCCTTAAATTGTTGTGTTCCTCTTGGCTTCCATTTCAAGCCACAAAAAGGGGGGGGAATCAAAAAGTCGTCCGACCTTGTTTTGGGCGATTCGGTCACAGCCATGCCTTGTGCGACATGAAAGTGAGTAGGGTGCGGCTTCCAAACGGAACAATAGCAAAATGCAGGCACATGTTTTCGAAAGCGCGGCTGCAGTACACAGCAATACACAGCAATTCGTGCATTCCGAGCAGCGACGTAGTGCCGCAGTTGAAAACTCCGATAATGGCGAAATCCAAGTTGATCCCTGGCCAGCTGTCTGAGAGTTCTTAGAGGGCCACATCTATCCCATGGATAAATCAACCGGTGGATTCTTCGGAGGTTCCCAAAAGTGCAAGACTCCCTCAAATGTTTCATCCAACATCATATTGTAAATAAACATGGCCTGGTCATGTGGGCAATAAGATCCTGCTCCCCACAACAGAACATGTCCCCAAACAAGGGTTCCCCAGAAAGGGGAAAATGGAACCCTAAACGGAATTCCAGGGTCACCCCCCTCCCCCAATTCCAGTTTGAAGGGGGTGGGGATTTGGCTACAAATGGACTAGGAAGCCAAAGCTTCGGCCAGCCCTGGGCCTTTGCCTCGGAGAAGCAATTTTCCTAACGTTGGCCATGTAGCAAGGGCCAACCCAGCACAAGCAAAGCTCCAGGAACGTTGTGGGAAAGAAACACCCTAAACTGGACATGACTAGGGCAGCCATGGAGTTACACCATGTTACAAGTTTGTAGCCGTGTCTTGCAGGTCCATCGTCGGAGCAAGCCACGATTCTATGGCCACAAGGATCACGAAATCAGCTAAACGGAAAGCCGCGACTTGGCCGGCTTGTTGCCATTGAGTGTTGAAGCATCCGGCCTTACATAGGAACCTCCGCGTGTCCTGACACATCAACCAAGCCAAAAGCTGGCCTGCACACCTAGCCTCGCAGTTCATCTCGGCGAAACAGGTGACAAATGCCTTTGATGCACCAAGCATGCGCCTGTCCAGTCCACCATCTCCTCGGCGTCTATGGCGGTGGAAAGGTTCACGCCCGCAAAGCCGCGCAGCTTTTCGAAGACGTGATGCGACAGGAAGCGGGGCGCGACCTCCTCTAACAGCTCCTCCGGAGATTTGGGGAAATACAGCTTCCGATTGTGAACATGAGTGTGTTTTACAATAGTACCCCAAAAACTGGTTGGTGTCCTTTTAGTTTCCCTTCAAATCACTCCAAAAAGGGTACTGTACCCTCAAGAAGGACACGCCCAGCAAAAGCCAAGCCAAACACAAGAAAAACAAGTTTGAAGGACAACTCTGCCAATATGGGCCCAAGTCTTGCTGAAAAGTTACAGAGATTTGCTGGTTGAAAGGCAAAATGATGGAACCCAAAAAGGCAAACAGTGCAAAAGGTAAGCCTTTGGTCTGGTTTAAGTGGGTATGGGTCAAAATTAAACAACCATAGCCAGAGCAACCCATTCTTGGGGCTACACTATTTTTTTCATCCCCCCTTCCCCCCGCCCCCCCCCCCCCCATCACCTAAAATTCGAGGGAACAACGCCGAGTGGAAACGAAATCTCCTGCTGCTGGCACTGCGCCGGCGCGCAGATGCTGAAGCGCATCTCTGGGGGCACGGCCCCCGCACCCGTCTCCAGGTCGACTTTGGGGAGGAGCCGCAGGAGTCGCCTTGCAAACTGTCTGGACACACGGGAAGCCTCTGGTTTGGAGAGTGGTTTGGTGCCCTCCACAAAAACCGGGGGTTCAAACCCCCAGGCCACCAACCCAAACCAGCAACTAAGAGTTGCCGGTTCTCTCTCTCAGCCAAGACAAGGGTACAGTACTAACTCAAAACTTTGACCGTCTTCGACTACTTGTGCAAACTGACAACGAACATTTTGAATTGTGGCCGTGTTTTTTTAAAGACAACTTCAAAGTGCAAATGAAGACAAGAGTTTCCAAGTGTTGGTCACATGCAAATTTCCAAAGGGAAGCTCCTTTGCTATCTCCACCGGCGCGTGTTTCAACCAGGACCTGGAAGTAAAGTGGGCACCTTTCGAGGCCATGACTAAACACAAGGCTCCCAAAGTGAGGTGCTGGAAAAAACATCGGAAAAAGGTGAGGCCCCTAAGGACCCCTCAGACCAAGAACCCTTCAATTTCTGAACAGTGGGTGTTTCTCAAAAGGGGCCTTCAGATTGCGCGCTGCCTTGGTTCCCCACATGAAAGCCATCCAAAAAGGGGAGCCCTACTGTGGATGGACGCAATCTTGCACCACCCAACAACCTCTTGGAATGATTATTCCCCCTGCAAATACCAACGCACAATGGTTTCAACCATGATTTCAAATTTGTGCAGGAATTCGTCCATCTATGGTATGTTGAGAAAACACATCGACCAACCGAAGACTTTGAAAAACGCAAGCGAGGCGCTCCACAAAGAGTGTGCGCCGAGTGCTCGACAGCCTGGCTTCGCTTTAAAGGGCAACTTCATGGGACACAATCTAACATCAGCCCCATATTTGTCTAGTCTCTCTCTCTCTCTCTCTCTGTTTCTCTCTGTGTCCCTCTCCCTCTCCCTATCTCTCTCTCTCTCTCTCTCTCTCTCTCTCTCTCTCTCTCTCTCTCTCTCTCTCTCTCTCTCTCTCTCTCTCTCCCCCCAAAGGTGGCCTTCGCTTGAAGGCGTGCAAGGGTTGCACGGAAAGCTGGGCTCACCTTGAAGGGGAACCAACATGAAGTCGTCTCCTCCAGCACCCTCCGGCTGCTTTTGGGACAGTGCCTAGGGCCCCAGGCTTTAGGATCATGGCTTCCCTGCGTGCCGCATTTTTTTTGGGACCTGGGGAAAAGCTGGCAGGGCCTTTGCGTGCTGAAACCTGTACTTAGCAAACTGAAAGTGTTGGGCTTCCTACAAGCCGTCTTTGGCCGCTGCGTTCGCCTCGGCAGCAGCTCTTGGATGCGAAACTTGGCCTCCGAGGAGCGGCACGGTGAACGCTCCAAAACAACAGCTGCCCAATATCACTGGCTGAAAATCCGCCGAGTGGTGGAAATGGTGCCGCTACTGAACAACAGAATCTAGGCAAATTACAATAATTCGTAGGTCGTGAGATATTTTCGTTATTTCACGGAAGCAAAATGGTGACGTCGATTTAAAATATGGAAATAAGTGCCGTCGCCCCGCGCAACGGAAACGCGGAAACCCCGATTGATCCCAAACGAGCCTAGTTTGTCAAACCATTCTTCGTGCGAAGAACCAGGGTTTACAAACCCAGTCTTGAAAAATGTTGGTGAAGAAGCAGCCTATTTCGCTGAAATGGGCTTGGATCAGGCCCACTGCCCCAGAAACCAAACGCAAATGGATTTTAAAAAACTGGTTGGAGGTTGGAAGTTGTCATCTCAACACTCAAAAAAATAGGAACCTGAAAAGCAGCCTATCTCATTAAAATAGGATTGATTCAACCTACTCCACAAGCAACACACACGCCCGTCACCGACGACCGGATGGAGGCGGCAGCGAAGCCTTTGCAGGTTGCAACATGCTGCGCTGGTGCTCTCTGTGATCTTTTTGTATTTTCTTTCGTCGAAAAGAGCCATACGCTGTAGCCCACACGAGGGGTGAGGGTCTGCTCCTGCAAGCAAATTTCTATCGCTGCGGGGGCTCATGGGGACAAGGCAAGGCTGCTGCCTGGCTTACGAGGCAGGAACCGCGTTCCCAAGAAATTTGTTCGTTTCCTGTTTGATTGGTGGGAGACGGCGTAAGGATCTATTTTTGCAAAATAGGGGGTTTCTATCGCGGGCAAATTTTGTTGGAATCGGTTTGTGCTTGGTTTGGAGATTGCCAAAAGCCCCTGCGTGGGGAGGGGGGGGGGCGCAGCGCGTACCGAGCAATGGGCGCCATGAGTCGGCAGAAAGTTAAAGTCCTAACAGCCAAGCAAAATGCACCAAAGAAAAGGTTTCTTTCTTCTGGGTTGACCATGCAGCGGGGATCAAGCTTTCAAGCAAATCAACATATGAAAGCACCAAAGGAACCATGCACTGCAAGGAACCTGTTTTTGCGAAATAGGGCATTCTCTAATTTGCAGCTGAACCCAACAATCGGCCAAATTGCCCAAAAGAGGCCCTCAAATGTCATCACATCCTGGTGTAGTGGCACTACGCTCGCCCCGGAACGTCTGTGACCACCATGTGGGGGTTCAACTCGTCCCTTCTGCCGACTCTTGGCGCTCGCTTCTTTTAGATGGTGTCCAAAATACAAAACCCAGTTTGTGAAAATAGGGCTGCTTTCTGAAAAATCGTTTTCACTGAGATTGCTATGGTTATTTACCAGTTGATGATCAACTGTTTTTTGCAAGGCTGGGAAAAGAACAATGAACCACTGCAATGCCCGCTTGTATATTTTCAAGCACCAGGTCGTTATTTCGAAGTGACGTCGCTGAGGTCGCTTTAAATCACCTAGACAGAATGGATATTGAGAGTGACCTCCCTCGGCCACAAGCCACGTGCTCCTTGTTCCACTTTAATCATGGGCAACCGTTTGACATTCCCACCGCCATGGAATCTGAGCAAGCTGGCGGGTTTCATGCGCTTGGCAGTTTGCCTTACCGAGCCCTCGTGCTCTTCGCAGCCCCGATGAATCAACGGCTACCGAACAAAGCGGAACCAACAAAGCACAATACGCAAGCAAAAGCCATGCCATGCCACATGCAGACTCACGCACACACTGCAAACAACACCCAACCAGGCGCAAGTCATATTGAACACCATGTCAAAACCAAATAGCCCATGCACAAACTCAAAATGTCAACGCCAAAAAACATGCTGAACAAGAAAACAAGCAATACTAAAAACAATCAGCACGAAGTGCAAAGCACTTCAAACACACACACACACACACACCCACACACCCACACACCCACAGACCCACAGACCCACACACCCACACACCGACACACCCACACACGCACACGGCACACGGCACACGCACACGCCCCACACACACACAACACAACACAACACAACACAACACAACACAACACAACACAACACAACACAACACAACACAACACAACACAACACAACACAACACAACACACCACACCACACCACACCACACCACGCCACACCACACCACACCACACCACACACACACACACACACACGCACACACCCACACACGCACACACGCACACACCCACACACGCACACACACCCACAGGGCACACAGCACGCGGCGCGCGGCGCGCGCAGGCGCAGGCGCAGGCGCAGGCGCAGGCGCAGGCGCAGGCGCAGGCGCAGGCGCAGGCGCAGGCGGCAGGCGGCAGGCGGCAGGCGGCAGGGCGCAGGCGCAGGCGCAGGCGCAGGCGCAGGCGCAGGCGCACACGCACACGCACACGCACCCACCCACACACACACACACACACACCCACCCACACGCACACACACACCCAGCCACACACACAGAGACACACACACACACAATACCAACACAAAACGCACAAAACCACTGTAATTACTGTTCGATTAACTACACCCATGCCAAACACATCCTGACCACACATACCTCAAAGCTGAATAGGAAAAGACACACACAGACACAGGCACAGGCACAGGCACACGCACGCCCACACCCACACCCACACCCACACATCAAAAAACAAAACACACCCAAAGCCGAACTCCAACACCTGCTTGCACAAAGCACATACCAACCATACGCAAAAATGCCCAAAAAGCCAAACAAGAAACTAAGGCCAACTCCAAAACAATGCCACCCAAGATCATGCAACTCTTGGCCAACTACCCATGGCACACAAGCCACTTACCAAACCAAAACCTACTTGTGTATCGTTTAATTAGTCCGGGTTGATCACCACCCTCCCCTCCACCCTCCCCCAAAACCTCGCCTCCCAGTAGCGGCCCCCAGACACCCAGCAGCCCAGCAGCTCCCCCCTCGCCCCTCCGAAGAGACGCTGCAGCCAGGGGTCCTCGGCTGACCCGAGGCTGCAACAAGCCAAGCCCAAAAAGGCCCAAAATGGAACCCTGGGTAATGGAACCACGGACTAAAATCTGCTGTCCCCGGGTGGTCTAATTTTGACCCAGCCATGCGGCCCCAAAATGGGCAACCTCTGGAAAATGCCCTTAGCAAGGCCATATTTGGGCCATACTTCAGGGAGCACCCTTGCACAGTTTCATCAGTGTTTCGCACACTCTCCGTCATCGTATTCACCTTGTCGGTTTGCACTGCTCAGAGGCCAGCAAAGTCTAATGTTTTTGTTTTTTTTGTTTTCTGACCAGCCACCTCATGGAGGCTCCTTCGAATACAGGGTATACATTTTATTGATCTGGTTGCGCGCACGCTCGCTCTGTTTCTGCAAGAGTTGCACGTCGTGTCCAGACTGGCTACAACATGCTATGTGGGGTCAAAACTCTTCTGAACGCCACAGTCATGCTTCCCTTTCATGGAAGCCATGGTATGGTGGTTCAAGTTGCCTACAAAAGGATCCACCGCCATGGGCGATGGCCTGGCAGAACATGAAACAGCCAGGGCATCCAGGGCCATCTATTTTCCAGCACAACAACCAACTTGCAAACCAATGTCCACGACCATCCCTGCAAATCCCAGCCAAAAGTAGTCGTTTTGACCATCTCGGGCGAGAACATATTCGACCCAAAGCCTGATCCACAGGGATGCCCCGAGCTACACCAACCTCGCAGAAACATGCATTGCCTGAACATTGGTGCAACTCGGAAGCCTGTGCCCCTCCCCCCCCCCCAAAAAAAAAAGAAGCCCCCCGCAAAAAGAAGAAGAAAAGAGAGCAAACAAAACAAAGACATGGCTGGTGGGTTCGTTTACTCTCAACCCTTACGCGGGGCACTTTGCCTTTTTGTTTCTTCTTTCATTTTTTTGAAAAAAAAACAAGCCATGTGTACCAAGGGCTTGCAAGCTTCTGTGTAGCCCAGGCTTTCTGGCGCCGACACAGGAATGTCCTGGCATGCTCAGCCTTCGAACGCTCACATGGGCCTTGAAACATGAGAACCATGTGGCTGTGGGTCAAAAATAGTGCAACCCCAAAATGGAGTAAGCCTGTGCTCTTCTGGTGGTTTAATTTTGACCCATACCTTGACCCATACCCATATCAACCCCCTAGCCATGCCTTTTTAGAGACATGGTCATTGCAGCAACTGGGTGCCAACACGTGGCGACCGCTTGGCCCCTTCTGGCGCTGGCTTTGGCCTGCCCTAAGGGCCTGGAAGCAAAAGGATACAATGGGCTTGCCTTCTTTTAGAGGGGACCCTCCTGGGGTTGGTCTAAAGGGAAACCTCGAAGAATCCCCTATGCTGTTGCTGCCTTCATTTTGAGGGTCCGTTTCTTTGAGTTTCGAATAGCGGGGTTCACCCGGCTCTTGTCAGGCTACACACCTGGTTTCGGCAAGGGCATGTCGCTTCAGCAGGTGGGGGAGATTGCAAGAGATTGAACTAGCCGCAAGCTAAAAACTCAGAATGTAGGTTATACTGGTTCCAGAACCTTGAATAAACGATCTCCATGTCAAGCTGCAGCAGCATCTGCCTGCTTTACCTTGGACAGTGAAGCTTGCCATAGAATAGGCGGCCGGGGTGCCCTTTGTAGAGTGTAGCACCCAGCTCCGACTCGAATTCACCCAGGTAGCCCAGAAAGGGCAGATTGGATTTTCTTGGTTGGGCGCAAGGTTTTTGGGCGATTGCTTGATCTGGTTGGGCGAGGTGGGGTGGGTGGACTGGATGGAAGTGAGGCGGGAGGCGGGTTCGTCTGTGTTTGTGTGTGTGTGTGTCCTGTTTTGGTTGGGGGGGGTTCAAGGTTTCTCATCATGACCGACCCTGAGTTGACATTCCCTAGCTGAAAGCTAGTGGGTCTCTGCCCCGGAGTTGTTGCTTCGATGTTGCTCCAAACCACGAGGGGAGCGAGCTGAAGGCAAACTACACCATTTCTTGTGAGAGTGGTCTAGCCAATGGGACCCGGAGATCCAAACATGTGGCCTGCCAAAAAGGATTCCAGATGTCAAGAGGTTGCCTTCCCCCAAACTGGGCGCATGCCTGTTCTTTAGGGGCCGAGGAACTAGAATGTTGCGCTCCTTGCCTGGGCATCCATGAGGCTACTGTGGGGTGGGGGCACTTGAAAGGCGTATCTAGGTTCTCCAGTAGTAGAGAGGTTAGAATCAGGGTACCCTTTTCTCCGTAGTCCATTTTAGTATGGGCCATTTTAGTATGGGCCCCAAAAAAGGGTGAAAGGGCACTACTGGGGGACCTAGGTATTCAGTCACAAGGGTAGACGTCGCAAACGCGTGCCGTGTGCCTTGCGGCCCATGACCTCCTCCCAGTAGGCAGCCGGCCGATGACCCACCGGCGTGTAGGTAGAAACAGCTTGGGACATGTCCACCCAGTCCT